CGGCGGGAGGCGGGGTGGGGGCGGAGCTTCCTTCTGCGGCTGCTAAGCAGGGGAGCCCAGCCCTGGAGGCCGGCCAGGCGTCAGGGGCTTCAGCTTCGGGCTGAGGATGTCTGTGGCTATGGGCAGAGCCAGGCCCCAGTGACACCGGCTGGTGTGACCTCGCCCTGCCCTGGACACCGCGCGGGGAGGGCGTCTGCAATGGCGATCCCTGCCTCCCTCTGCAGCCCGCGGCGGTGCCAGCGGAGCGGAGCAGGCCCCCAGCACTAGGGCCACCGCGCTGACCTACCTGGGCCGCGATGCCCCCCAGGCCGGCGGCGTCGCCCCCGCTACTGGCGTGGGTGCCCGTGGTCCACGTGATGGAGTCGTAGTTGAAGATGGTGAAGGAGAACTTGCCGTCAGTGATGAGCACGGTTTGGAACGTGTTGATCTGCCAGGGCGAGGGGCTGGCTAAGCCTGGGACCCCTTACCCTGCCCCCGGGCCCTGCCCAGCGATTGCTCCATGCTGTCCCCCAAGGAAGAACCGCGGGGGCCTGGTCTGCCTCCCACCCCCACTGAGTCCCAGGGGCCAGGACCAGGCAGCCCGGGGGGCCAGGCTCCAGCGCGGCTGGGCCACAGAGGGCCAAATCCTTAGTCTTGTGTGTACAATGAGCAAAGAGGTAAAAATAATATGGACACAGGTGAACTAGAGGAGCCAAGGAAAAATGTTTCCTCACTTCCTCCCTCCCTATCTGTCAGTACTGGGGCTTGAACTCAGGGTCCTTTGCTTTGTTCGGCTTTTTCATGGCTCATTAGAGATAAAGAGCTTCTCAGATTTATCTGCCTGGGCTCCCTCTCCCTCTCCCCCAGCCGCCTCAGCAGTCCTGGGGCTTGAGCTTGGCCTGGGCACTGTCCCTGCGCTCTTTGTACTCAAAGCTAGCGCTCTACTACATTAAGCCACAGTGCCACTTCCAGTTTTTGAGTGGTGAATTGGAGGACCTTGCTGCCTGAGCTGGCTTTGAACTATGATCCTCAGATCTCAGCCTCCTGAGTAGCTAAGATGACAGGCCTGAGCCACTGGCACCTGGGCTTTGAACCATGATTCTCAGGGCTCAGCTTCCTAAGTATCTAGGATTATAGGTGTGACTCTAGCACCTGGATGAAAAGCATTTTTTAATAGCTATGTCTTTAGGTTTTTCATGAAATTCTGCTTCATGACAATGGTGAGAGTATGTGTAAGAGATGCCATCTCTGAATGGGGAGAAGCAATGATCTTGGAACAAACGGGAAACTCTGAACAAGGTGACACTGGAGCCCTGCTTTACACTACATACCAAAGAAGGATTTCAAAATGAAGCCCCAGGACGGGAGGTGTGGTTCAACTGGCAGAGACCAGTGTGGAATGAAACCATAAAATCCTAGAAGAAAACACTGGCTACCATGTACAACATCTCATGAGCATTTCCTTCAGGGGCGGGAGGAGCTGAGGACGGAACCCCAGTCTAGTGCATGTGAGGACGGACCCCGGAGCCTCAGGCCTGGGGGGACAGACAGACCCCAGAGCCTCAGGCCTGGGAGGACAGACGGACCCCAGAGCCTCAGGCCTGGGAGCACAGACCCCGGAGCCTCAGGCCTGGGAGCACAGATGGACCCCGGAGCCTCAGGCCTGGGAGGACGGACAGACCCCAGAGCCTCAGGCCTGGGAGCACAGACCCCGGAGCCTCAGGCCTGGGAGCACAAATGGACCCCGGAGCCTCAGGCCTGGGAGCACAAATGGACCCAGAGCCTCAGGCCTGGGGAGACGGACAGACCCCGGACGGACAGACCCCAGAGCCTCAGGCCTGGGAGGACAGACCTCAGAGCCTCAGGCCTGGGAGGATGGATGGACCCCAGAGCCTCAGGCCTGGGAGGACAGACAGACCCCAGAGCCTCAGGCCTGGGAGGACAGATGGACCCAGAGCCTCAGGCCTGGGAGGACAGATGGACCCAGAGCCTCAGGCCTGGGAGGACAGACGGATCCGGAGCCTCAGGCATACTAGGCAAGGGCCTTCACCATGGAACATCTACCCAAAGAAGAAGACTAGTATGGTGATTGTTAACAGCAAAGAGAGAGTAATACATTGAGTACCAAAAAGTTCTGAGTTGAATCTGAAGCTCTGAATTAAAATGTGTCTGTAGGACGTGGCAGCTATATGAGGCACAGGAATGTCTCCAGATCCATCAGACCAGAAATAGTCCAGAAAAACTCCCACATATGAACAAATACACCAGGACAGAATGTGACCACTCAGGAACACCAGGAGAGAAGTCCAGCATCTTTAGAAATCAAAGATGTGCAAGATAAGGGTTAGAAAAGACGTTGCTTGTTTTGCATGTTTGGTGAGCAAGGAAGGAGAAAGGCAGCGAGTTTCGCTGAGGTGCGGGGAGTGTGCAGATCCCTGTGCCCCGAGATGTGCACAGGCCACAAACGCAGCAACCTGGGCCACACGGAGCCAGACCCAGGCACCTGGGAGGGGCAGTTCAGGGCCACGGAGGGTCTGGGAGCCACTGGGCTACAGAGGCCTGAGGACCAAGGAGTCAGCCAGGAAGCGCCACCTGCCCGTGGACCAAGGAGTCAGCCAGGAAGCGCCACCTGCCCGTGGACCAGGGAGTCAGCCAGGAAGCGCCACCTGCCCGTGGACCAGGGAGCCTGCTCGCGGCAGCGCCACCTGCTGGCACCCGAGTCACTGTCACGCCATGTGCCCAGCTGATGCTGGACTCAGCCTGCTTCTCTGTGCAGTCCGTTTCCCTGTGCCAGGAACACTCCACTCCCCCTCACCCTGAAGATGAGGCACCCACACACCTCAGGGCCCTTCCAGGGTTGGCGATGGCCACGTCCAGCTGAGTGCGGCAGCCGGAGTGGACGGAGGCTGGGGGACAGGCTCCGTTCCCCTGCCTGGCCCCACGGTCTCAGCCCCGTGAGCCCGGGTTCCTCTCGGATGTGGGCGGGTGCCGGAGCCCGACCTGCCTCCGTGAAGGCCGGGCACAACGGCGCGGCCCTCAGGATGGAGGTGGTGACTTACCGGGGAAGAGGTGCTGCCTCCAAAAAAGGTCACTTGATACCACGTGGCAACAAACACCCAGGTGGCGGAGAAGTCCAGGAGCTCGGGGAAGTAGCGTCTGATGTCCCCCGTGGCTCTGCGCAGGGTGGCCGGGTCCGTGGCCTCCCGGTAGTAGACATCGCCGGCATGCCTGTTGTCCACATCTGCCCAGAAAGCTGCCACCACGCAGCGGTCCTTGGCGATGGGGAAGGCCACGGGGGTGAACTGAGACACCTCCTTCAGGAAGGAGATGACGCCATTGTTGTTTACCTGTGGGCACAAAGAAGGGAGGTGCTGGGGTGGAAAACCAGAGGAACTGGGGTGCTCTGAGCAGAAAAATGAGGGGCGCAAAGGGAACCCACTGCTGTTACCTACGCGAATCCCAGGAAACGGAAAGTTGGTGGTGGTGGTGGTTTTGCTTTTGTTTTTATCTTTTTGGGTGGGGGCAAAATGGGCACAGAAATGGAGGGAGGCAGGGCGAACAATGCAGGCGTGGTGTTCAGTACACACTATATGGAAAACTAACTATGCAACTTGTAGACAGGGACAGGAGGAAATGGGGCAAGCAAGGGAAGAGGTGACACTGTCCAGAAAGAAATGTGCTCATTACGGAAATTTCTCTGTGCAACCCCTTAATAACAACGTCATGTACGAGTCAAATACGTGAAATACAAAACGGAACAAAGAGGGAACTGGGGTGCCATAAAACAGCCACCATCCCCACTGTCCCCCGAGGGAGAGCCGCCCCCCACTGTCCCCCCACTGTCCCCCGAGGGAGAGCCACCCCCCACTGTCCCCCCCCTGTCCCCCGAGGGAGAGCCAGCCACAGCCCCCACTGTCCCCACCGGGGGTCCAGATGGAGAGCCGGCCTACAGCAGTGTGCTAAGGGCAGCTGAAGCCCCTGATCACTGACAGGCCCCTGCAGTCCTGCCGCCCTCTGGACAGGCTGGCTCAGGCCAGGCTCTGCCCTGTGCCCTGCACAGTGCTGGGTCCTGGACTTCTGCCTCCAACCGGGCACCTCAGGAGGTGTAAGTCAAGGCAGAGGCCTGGCTGAGCCAGGCCTGGGAGGGTGAGCAAGAGATTCACAAGACAGCAGCAGGGAGGGGGGACCAAGATGGCGACGGGGCAGTAGGGAAACGCCACAGCTCTCTCCAACCAAAAAGAGAGTTCGAGTTCCAACGCTTAATCTCCCCAAGAGACCGACAACAACAAAAAGACGAACACTCAGAGAAAAACCAGAGGTGGAAAATAACAAAAAAAGAAAGAGAGGAAAGGAAGAATTTCAGAACAGAGAAGAGCGAAGACCCCTCCCCCAACCTTTACTGGCCGCGCGGCAGTGCGCCAAGCCGCCGGCCAGCCGGCCCGGCGGGGGCTGCCGGAGCCCCCAGAGACACAGGGGGCCGTTGCAGATCACCAGATACCGGTTCGCAGAACAGCAGATTGCCAGGAACAGAGAAACCTACCAGCCAGGATTCTCCACGAGGATCCCACCCCCACCCCTCACTCTCCACCTGAGTGGAGAGGCTCCATCCCGCCAAAGCCGCCCGGCACCAGCAGCGCAACAAAGGGATCTGTCGGCAGACCACCCGCCAGATCGCGATCGCAACGACCCAGCCCAACCCAGCCCGCAACCACCCCAACTGAACTCGGATTG